CAAGGGGCGCCCCGGCCCTGTTACAAACCAGAAGGTTTTGACCCGCTCCCACATGAATCCAGGCGCTCTAATGCCGATGATGGAAGATCGAAACTAATAAAATTCATGTACCGCTGTAAGGCTGAAAGCGAGGAAAAGTCATAGTCTCCATGCCTCGTCGGCGCGGCAAAGACTTTTGACCCAACCGCGAGGCTGCACGTAGCCTTGCTACGAATGGATGGCCGACTTCTGGTACATCAGCCCATCAGCTTCACATGGTCACACATTTAACTGCCTCCACTTAGCCCTTCAAAGCACATCGCCTCATGTGAAGGCCTCGGCAAGCAAAATCTGCGGTTCCTGCCGAGGCACGCAGCGTTTTGAAAGAAGGCATAGCACCAGGCCTAAGTAGAGCGGCTGACACGTCGAGTGCCCAACCGAAACGAAGGCACTTCCACAGTCACTACAACTCCCTTATGTACTTGGTTTGAAACCGCTACTGTTCAGCAGAGGGGCGAATAGAAAACCGACATGGCAAGCGAAGCACGCAGCCACCTCAGGTGGATGTTTCCATGATGTGACGAACATCACAGCTTGGTGGGCATGCCCTGCATTCCCTCTGAATCCGCTGGATTCTCAATCCCCGTGCGCAAACAACTTCGCAACTTGGAAGCAGCTCCAATCATCTTCAGGGTTCTTGACTTAGCTGACGGCCACTGCTGTCCAATACAAGGGCAACCTGCGCAGGCAGAAAGTGCTTCAGCCACAAAGAAAGCTGAGCGGAGTCGAGACTCGCCTGGACTCAGTCATTCCTGTAGCCTGCATGAGGATCAAGCCGCCCAAGGACGGCAGCAGCGCGCACCAAAGCTGAAACCTGTCAGCGAGGTCTGCATAACTCACCTGACTGGGTAGCGTTGCATGACCACTCGCTGTTCAGACTCTGATGAACAAACGGGATCATAACTACCCATGTGCAACGCGCGACAGCTTTGAGCTTCGCGAGCCTTTCAATGTGGTTCAGCACACCATTTTGGCGGCTATCGAAAGGCCTCGCTCGCGGACGTCCGAGTCTGGCTCTGATCACGGCATCTACAGCCCCTACATGCCTCTCCGATAAAATGGATTGTGCCCGCGGCAATGGAAGGCCGTGCAGGAAAGCTTTGCGCTGACAGAATATTAAGGACGGTGCAAGTATACCTCGTGCGCATAGAGCGACAAAATGCAGGTGACCACGAAGAGGAGGGTGCGAGCCCTAGGGTCCGACTTCAATGTAACCACCATCAACGACTGGTTCTGAGCCCCTGAGCCCTAGACTCGGAGCCCACTGGGAGCACCTGCAGGAGACTTTCGAGTTTGGGACGATCTGCNNCCCCCCCCCCCCCCCCCCACACATTACACATGTCCTGTCACTCGTGTTGAAGAAGGAATCAACAATTCAATTGACAGTTTGTTCCTTGGCCATTGTGCCAGAAAGTGCCAGTTTGTCTCGCCGAGCAGTTCTTCAATTCGTTCATGTCACCTGTCTTCCAGACAGAGAGCTTTCAGACCTGTGGTGTGGTGGATCAACTTGTGCTTCGCAACATCCCAGCTGCAGGATGTTTGTTTCCTGCAACGTCGGTACATGGCGGTTGCCACGGATACCTGGAGCATCCAACTCGCTTGCAACATGGACGCTTGCATCGCCAGAGCATGAGCATAGCGTTTGTATCGCTGGGCCATGAGAACTCTGATGCGTGGATGCTCTGTGGACATTGATTGGCTCTGTCGAGCTCGGTCATCGTCTACCACCACCTCCTCCGCCACCGTCGCAACATCAATTGAAAGCAGGGCAGTGCCCAACCATGCCCAACCTCCAGGACCAGGAAAGCAAACTTCCGGACAAATATTGCACCTTCCCACCACCTTTGCAAGAACACGGGCTCCGAGCCGCCGTTTCGAAGCTTAGGCCGGAAGTTTGTCTTGCTAGTACTTGAGAGCCGGGCCAAACTGTCCGCGAATAACCTCGGACGTCACATGAAACAGCATAAACATTCGCTGAGAAGCTGGTGAGATGTCCGCCATTGATTATCGTGGACCAGCGCTTCAAGACCTCAGTCAGTTAAATGTTCTGCAGGCCAGGTGGAGTGACACATCAGTCTGGGCTTCCTACATGCGGATCAGAAAGACGGGGAATATCGCGTCGGAGTCCCCGCCTCAATAAGACAACTAATTTCCGATGGACTCGGGTCCAGGGGAGGCCGCAACCACTTCCATGTAGTATGTGATTCCCAGACGGATACACATCTAACCCCCGCTGAATCGACTGTGCTTCATCGACACAGTCGCGACATGCTCAAGGCTCCAACATGATGACCTCAGCCGATGCGCACACTGAGGCTACGAGTTCTCCAGAGTACTTTGCCTGGGGCCATGGCGGAGGGATACACGACTCCCCAGAAGAAGGCCAGCCTGTGATGGCATGTCGATTCGCTTGAAACAATTACTTTCGCAGTTTACAGTCACGTGAAGCGTGACCCGCCGGGAGAAGTACAAGCAGTCAAGAAACAACAGTGCGAGTAATGCATCCGAGCAGCACTAACGAAACTATCAGTAATGGATCTTCAGGACCTGACTGACGCGGCACGAGGCGGCACTGCAGATATCAGGCGGCCAATGCCCGGTGGCATCGAAGCTAAGTGCATGCAACTTTTGTTCCTCGCTGAAACATTGTGCCGTGGTTGCAGACTGATGGCGGAAACAAAGAATGCGGCGGGCTACCTGCTTCGCAGGTCTCCGCCGTCACAGTGCCAGGACGCGAATGGCCGCAACTGTCACTGTGAGCTGCCCGTCAGCTCCTACGTGCGGCCCCGAAGAACCAGAGCCGCTCACTCTGAGCCGCCCCACGTGTCTCAGAGGAGTCTGAGCATTCGCAAGGTTCGCCAAGGCCAGCCTGCCAGGTCCCGTGGCTTCTGCCCGTCATCTTCAAGCTCACAAAGGCTTACAATGGCTCACACTTGACAATGCTTCCGCCTCGGCTCAGAGATTTTCCGGTCCTGCTGCTCTCATCACCTGAGTCGATGCATCAAAGACGGGATCCAGGCACAAGTTCCGGGCTCCTGAGTGCGTGTCTTGCCTGCTCTTCTTTGCTGCTAGCCGGCCTATCTAAAGTTTACGACGTGTGCCATGTGCCCACCTGGCCAGGTTTCGATCCGCTCATGCAAACAGGACACCAGCGCTGGAACACGCGGAAGGGCACTCCTGAGGCCACAGTGGCAGCCAAAACCAGGGTCTTCCAGGTAGTTCTCAAATCTAGATCTATGTTCTGAGTTCTGAATGCAGATCTCTGTAGTTCCACTTGAACCGATGTTCTGCAGTCAGCTGTTTGTTTCATGCCGATGTCTTGACAACGGTGCTTCACTGGGCTCGAGCTTGACGTGCTTTGCCTCCTCTAGAAGCCGCCTAAAGTCTCACAAGCTTTCAGCGATGCCGCTCCTTCTGCTCAAGCGACACTGGAGCTTTGATGACCAGCGGTGCTCTGTCTGTGAACTCGGAAGTTCCAAGTGGTCCTTCGCAACAGCGTTTGGCGTTTTCTTAACCACTATAGTAACTACGTCCCGATGCCGTCTACTATTCTGACCACTGCTCTTTTAAGCTTCGGCCAGGTAGTTGCCGGCGCGGCATTGATCCCGAACATCCGCACGTCTTAAGTACACGCCTTGAGCTTCAACAAGGTCAAGATTTGCTTTGGGACCTTTGTGAACGATGCCTCGGTTCCGCTGTTCGGATTGGGATGTTGAGGCTAGAACAACAAATGGAACGACCGTCCTATATTCCGCCCGGTGAGTTTGTACTCCAGATAGTTGCCCATGTGGAGCAAGAAGCTGATCACCTCATCGCGATGATCACGGGCAGTCGGACTCGCAGGGCCGTGGTGCACACGCTGGTGTACACGATCTCGCGCCGGACATGTCAGCGAGACGAATGTGCCGGTTGATCCCACGACGAAAGAGACTGCTCCAAACTTAGTGCAGCCTGGCGACTGAATGAACCCCATTGCCCTCAAACCTCAGTTCAATTTGCACTGAGACAAGTTGCTGAGACAAGAACACTTCAGAATACCTGACCTACAGGTAGTGCTGAAGGCCAGCACGGCGAGACCCAAGTTTCTCGCTATTCTGCCGAGGTGCTGGAACCAAGTGTGCCCATCTTAGCTGACGTCTTTCTTCAACTGATCTCGCGCAAGGATCTCATCTGCCGGCTGATTTGCATGCGAGTTCAACCCGACACATGTACGAACTCAAGCTTTTGGCATGCCTATTCCGACGAACTAAATTGTGAATCCCTGATGCCGAGCTCACCAAAATAAACTCGCCGAGCATTTTGCATTCCATCAAACCTGACGGCCCTGCTGATTTCAATCATGCGTGCGCGTTCACCAACTGCCTAGCATCTGGGTCTGCCTTGCTCAGTGCACTTTGAATTTCTTGCCTCTCGCCTAGCGAGGACGCTGCCCGCATTAAAGGTCTGTTAGCAGGAAAGTGCATCATCACAGGCTGTTACGACGACATTACGACGCTCGAAAGAACACAACTAAGTCTGAGCCGTATTTTGGTCGGTTTACATATCCTCAGCGTGTATGATTCTCTTAGCAGCAGGAACTTTAATTAGGAGGGTAGGATGCAGGGATCGTGTCGGTGACAAGATTACGAACACATGGCACAAACAGTGAACGCTGGGAGCGACAGCTTGCTGATAGCTCAAACTACCGTTGAGATCGACTTCAGGTAAACGGCTGTGAGGCGAGTGGGGGCGTTTTTGAATCCAGAAGCTTTTCTCTACCGACAACTATTCTGATACTTGGTGGCATCTTGCATACCTTCTGCAACCATGGAGTCATGCCAAGGTGCCAATGTCACCAAGCAGCATCGTGTGCAGGACCTCGCCTTGTGGGATGCCGTATTGTTGGGCATCGCTCCTCACGCAGGTGTTCTCTGCTACCAAGAACGCTTCGATGGCTGCTGCTCCAATGCAGCTGTCCATACGAAAAACTCACAATGCACTTGCTTCCTGTGAGCATGGGGTGTCGCGCTCATGTGTCCACTCTGTGTTCCGCCCAACAGAACCCGCTCCAGACCTCTTTCCAAGCAGAAGCAGCTTAAAGCCTAAAGCCCAGCGAGCCGGCACTCCTATGAGAGGACTGCCTCTTGTAAGCCCCCGGAAACGACCTCGATCGGACTGGGTGAAGATTCTCAGAAGGGATGAACAAAAACAAAACAGTGCAGGCTGGAAGCTGTAGCAGCTGGTAAGCTGTAAAGTTTTCGCCGCCGCGCGTGCTGAGGACATCTCGTTGAAGCAAAATGTGGGCTCCACTGAGAATCCTTGTTTTTTTCTTCTGCATTGCTTCAAGGAGCAGGCGGCATTAAACAACAAAGCCAAGCACGATTTGCACACGCGGGCTCGCAGGATTGGGGCAAGCATCTGGCGCATGGTTTCCCGGTCTCGTCTGGCAATTTGCATGTAAACGAAGCCCATCAGCACCTCAGGCATCTCACGAATCTGGACTGTGCCACCTCTCAGACCGGTGACCTGTGCAATCAACCCCCCCTAGCCTCGCCCAATGGGCATCTCGTGCCACATCGGCCCTAGAGTCCTAGGGGCCTTAGGCTCACTAACGGTAGCCCGAAGCCGTCCGAACCTTCTCCGCCAGCGGGGGGTTCAAGTCAAACTTGCGCAAGTCGCTATCCGGAAGCTCCTGTGCCGCGCCAAGTTATCCAAGTTGAGGTCAGAGCTGCTCTCAGGTCGCAGACATTCGCAGCGGGTCCATGAGGCAAGTCGCGGCCGCCGCGTGGTGGCAGTAGGCAGATTTCTCCAACATGTCTAACATCGGCTCCAGGAGCCGGCCTCGCCCCTGGATGCTGGTGCCTGGCTGGCAAGCCGTGCCAAAAGGCCGTGCCCTGGCCGTGCCACAAAGGGTTTCTTGATGCTGCCGCGGCACCGACCAAGACGCCGAACGCCAGCATCGTGCAAAGCACGGAGACGCACGCCACGCATCTGCACGACACATATTGGCAGCGCCGAGGTTCCTTGCTGCTGTTGCAACCGGATAACTGCGGGCATGTGCGGAGGGAGCTGCGAGTCAATTTGAGACTTGGCCCTCGCATCATGTGCCTTCTGCCCCAGAAGCTCAACTCTAAAGCGTTCAGGGCTGAACAAAATCTTCGTAAACACACGTTCAGGGCCACTCTTTCGAGTGATGCTGGTGCCCGTGTGATGGCGAGCTGACACTCTGTAAAGCGGAGTCTCATTATGCATTCTGCAAGCAAGGCACCGATACCGTAAACGTCGTCCTAGTATCACACGTTTCAGTCAACGAGGACACCTCTTCGTCCATCGGTGACGGAGAGCCCAGAGTGCGGGCTGTTATCCGCCACACTGCGCTGCCCTCCTCGACCTGGGTTACATCTTTTCAATATCGTTTCAGGTAATGTGTGGAGGGGAGAGGAACGGTTGCCGCGAGTCGTGCTACACCTGTTATGGAAAAGCCGTGTCGCAAATGATGCTTGTCAGCACTTAGGATCATAGTAAGGCTGCGACTGGAGGGGTGCCCCAGCCAGTCCAGTACCGCCAAAGCTTGAACTGGAACCAGGCTGCTGCGAAAGTATCCAAACCATGCCGGCAGAGTCATGCAAAACGGGCTCGACATCGAGATTTACGGTGGCAAAGTCGTGATCTGTTCCATGGGTTGACAACAAATCTACATACTCACCACTTAGTGAGTGGTCAGCGGCCAGCAAGCTGCTCCAAGGCAGTGGCGGCAGCCTACGGATCCCTGCCGCATAAGCACAGAGATGCCGCCAGCTCGGCTGCCCAAGTTCACCTGCAAGCACTTTAAAACGCTTGGTAGTTAACTCTGACAGGCTGTGTTGCTGAGCTTAGGCCCCAACACATGTTAAGACGCGCAGGTTCCGTCTGGCCACTGCAAAATACATCAGCTGAAAGACCTCGCCGTGCGCGCGCCCTCATAAGAGAATCGGGCGAAGAGACGGTGACGGTCTAAGGAGCCCACTGCCGCCCGCGCCTGAGAAACTGGACTTCAAGCCACGGGGCTTTCGTTGTCTGCACAGCCGCACATTGCGTCTGCCCGAGGCACTGGCAGGCAGGTGATCTCGCCAGAAATGCATGAACGACGGGAAACGCAGTAAGTTGCTTGCACCCCTGCGTGCATTGCAGTTGCTCAGGCAACTCGGAACGACACGAGTACGATCTTGGCAGACCTCTGTGAGGAGAAGGATGCAATGTACTGCACGGGCCAGAAGAGTCCCAACCTGAACCGGCAACGTACAGCATCCCCTGGCATGCCACATGTGGAACAAGCAGGGATGCCGAGGAAGCAGCAATCTCTTCTGGTAGACATCCAAAAAGAGCTGTCGTTGCGCCTGCCATGCTTGATGGAGATTGTCACAAAGGATGCCCTGGCTTCTGACGTTTGTCGAAGGCACATAATTGCCCGTTGACGCTCATGATGTTGGACTTCTGCCCTACAAGATGGCACGAAAGCCTGGCTCCGACTCCGGCAGAGGATCTGAATGCATGGGAATGAGCCGCTGGGAAGGTCTTCGTCAGCCCTTTGCAGGTCAAGCAATCAGCCAACCTCGTCCCAAAAAGCTGCGACACGGCCACCGAAGCAACACACCTGTGCGATTGGACCGAGAGATATGGAGCCGGAGGGAGAGAGAGATAGAGGGAGAGAGAGAGTGAGGGATTGAGACAGAGACAGAAAACGCGATTGGGGAGGGAGGCAGGGTTGTCGAGTCCCTTGTCCCAGTTGCCTGGCTGTAGAAGTCAGCGGCATCTACCCAAATGTCCAGGCGAGACCTGCAGTGCGACAGTACTGGAACATTGGAAGCAGTGTCACCATCCTCCGATTCATGTTTGGCAAACCTCATGTAGCGGTCGAGGAGGCCGTAGCACAGGATGCCGGAAAAGAGCACCACCTGCAGGAGCTGGTGACGGTAATGGATGGTAGCTGTTCTCAGCTGTCCTTACCGAACTTAACACGCTACTGTCGGATCTGCCTTCGCTGTCAGCATGCCTAGTGGCTGACATGAACCGCAGCACACTAACTCGGTCCCGGGGCTGCCACAAGGAATGGGAGCAGATTCCTCGGCTCAATGCTTCTCAGAAAGCTGTCAACAAAGGCAGTAGAATTCAGTAGAAATGCTTCATGCAACTTTATGCACGATGCCCCTGTGGTTGTATGTGCCATTGTGTACCAAACACTTGTCCTTACACATGGCATGTAAGTGTACTTGGGCACTGAGGACGGCTCCAAGTCAGAACGACGAAAGTCTCGTTCAAGCGTTGGTAATTCCCAAGCGCATCTGTGGAAGCATGCTATGAGCTAAGAGCTGTTGTGCTTCTCGCTTTCGGGTCGCCCAGCCGGGGATTCGATTCCGCTCGGCTGATGCCTTGCTGCAACACCCATGCTGTGCCTTGTGCAGGTCTGAGTTCTGGCAGGTCGAAGTCATGATGCCGGGCGGCCGCCATCCTTGCTTGCAGCGTCAGGTGTAATGGAAAACAGGACAGCACTCGGGCCGCAAGGGCTTCAGTGCTGAAGCCATTCGAAGGGGAGGCACGGCTTTTGAGGCTTCAGGCAAGGGACTTGAACGCAGGGCCACGTTTCAGCAGAAGGCTGCAAGGGCTGGAACTCAGGATGCTCATGAATGTGAGGCCCAGGCTGGTTCATCCTGGGTGATGAGCAACACTTGTTTTCGGTGCAGATGGGCCCATTTCTGTTGCCACTTGCGTCGTGCGAGCAACTTGGCTGACGGCATGCTTCGCTCTTCAGCTCCCAGGTGTGGCTGCCTGAGCCGAATGGGGCAGCTCCGAGATGTAAAGGCCATGAATATCAACGAAGACCTCCATATGCCGAGACGCATCAAGCAAGATAAGGAGAACCAGCTTGCTTCGCCTTCAGGCGCCTGGCAGCTGTGAAGAGCACTCACGGGATTCTGCAATGCGGTCTGAGGAGCAGGCTCCATCCGTAGCCAGCAAGATCTCCAGAATGAGCTTGATGGCGAGATGGTCCCTCAACCTCGTCTTTCCAAGTGCCGCACGGCAGTTCGTCATGCCATGCTGGCCCCCCCCACACACACACAACCGAAACCGACGCTAAGGCTTGCACAGGCCAGCCTTGCACCAGGACCAGGATGCTCATAGGCTCTCCACGCTCTCATGCTCGCCGACACCGGCAAAAACAAAAAATCCGCCTGGGTGATGTAGCGCTGGATCTGCGCACCGAGCACAGCCCTGAGCTGCATCAGAGGTACCATCACATGATTCTGTATAAGTCACCAGAGTGCCACTTTAGCTCAGCTCTGCTGCCATGCTGCATAGCGATACAATGGTTCAGCAAGATCTTGAAGAGAATCAGATGACAGTCCTGCCAGCACCAAAGGCTTTGGCCGCGACTAAGATGCAATTTGCTTGTGGCCTTCTTGCTGGTCAGATCTACCGTCGCCATAAGCAAATGGATGACGATCACATAACCGAAGAAATACATCCTGGGGGGGGGACGAGCCAGGAACAACGCAATTCAGGCACCGGCACCGGCCTAACCCACAAGTTCTTGCCAACTCAGCGCCAAGCCCAGCAAAGATGACGCCATCTGAGTTTGCGAGCCACTTGTGCTAGCAGGGGTTCTGCACGTGGGCATCATGCCCCATGACTCCATGACTCATCATGCCATCTCAAGGGACAGCTCTAAGGGGCAGCTACTTTGAATTTTTAATGCACGAGGTGAGTGAAGATGAGAGGACAGTACTTCCTGGCACCATATGAGCAGACTCTATAACGTCTTCATTCGAACCTCGTCGCGCTACTAGTTGTGTACCTCTAATGCAAGACCAACTGAGGCCAGTGACATAGTCGATCCGGACATCGGCTGCAGGTTCCACTGCTGATGAAGCCGGGTAGGCAAGAGTAGCCTCGACGGAGGCCAGAAGCACGCTAAAAGCCACTAAGCGCATACGAATCTCCCCTACTACAGCTTGAGTGCGAAGTCAACAGGCCGCGTGCTGAAGGCTGTTCGTGCACCATCTTGCTGCTTCTGTTGCGCAAACCACACTCTGGGAGTTGCACAATGGCGACCTGCATGCCCTTCTGCACATACCTCGTTCTTCAAACAAGCCTCAAGTCAAGAGCCAAACGCTTTCCAAGTTGGCTCATGCAGTCCCTCACCTACCGGTGGACTTGCCTCCGGCATGGCATCGCACCGCTCAATGTCTGCCGAAGGCTCGCTTTCCTCGACCTTGGCTTCTATGGCTTCTTGTGCGCCCTGCCCTGGAAATCGGTGAGTTCTTGCCGCAGCTTGTCATATGCAGGCTGCAGTCTCCAAACGGTCAAGGATCTATGGACGCCGCACTGATGTAACGCACCAGGAAGTAACCCGGTGCATTGGAAGGCGTGGAGGTTCCCGGCCTCAAGTACAAGGCTGCAACACTCCATGAACAGCTGCATAGCTGATGGAGTGCAACACTGGCTTTGAAAGGTCTTCTTCGATTTCGCTCCCTCGGGGTCTCGAGCTGTCCAGGTCCAGGTCACATGCCAGCCTTGAGGCTCAAGCATAGCACTTGAAGAGCCGTCCTGATCCTGCAGAGCTCGTCCCTCCGTGTCTTCAACTTGCTTCAAGGCTACGGTGCGGAAACCGAAGCTCATGTCCGTTCTCATCGCTATGCTGTGTCCCTCATGAAATGTAGTTAGACCTTTGCACGACACTCGGGCACAAGTTGGTATTGAAGCAAAGGTCGTCGATGAAGGAAAGCATCGTCTTGCACTCCGGTGCCGGCTCTCGGTTGCTGCTGGCCTTTAACAACCGGTACTGTTGCGATGTGCCTCGATGCAGCTTGACTGGCCAAAAGCTGGCTGGTACTGGCCGGTGGCACACCTGTCCAACATGCTGTCGGTCCTCTCTCTGTTGAATGCAAGGCCCAGGCCTCTCACATCGGGTTGCGTCCAGGATGCTGATGGTGCCCGGCTCACAAACATCACAGGCCTACAGTAAAAGATGCTTCTGCACTGGAAAGCAAGTGTTTTGGCATGCTTGCTGTCCAGCAGCACTTGCCCCGGAGGTGTTGGCAACAGCTCCACTTGGGCACTTTTGGCACCTCTACACTTCTAAGCGGGACAGGCGAGGGCTACATTTACGCAACGCGGCGTGGGCCGAGTTAACTGGACAAGGGCGCTCTGATGTTCCGGATGTGGCTGAGAAGCGGCCTGGAAAAGCCGGAGTTCAACAGAATTGCTTGCCGACTCGCATGAACATGATTCGGACCGTTGCATCTTTGCTGATCAGATGTAAGGACTGCCTCTTGGACACGTGCGGCAGGTGGAGTAGCCTGCCGCACTTGTAAAGGAACCTGGGAGGAAATCGCAGAAGCTCTAGACTCCGAGCGGCTCGGAGTACAGACTCTGCTCATGAAATTAAGGTCTCTGCCGGGTCCACACAACTCACACTGCCGCCTGGGCCAAAGCACTTGAGCGCAAGCCTGTTTACCCTACGTGATGAGGCAATCGACACTCAGGGACCAAGGAGAGCACAGCCCTTCAGCAGGCCCATATGTGCCCGGAGAACACTTCCGGCACTTGGAGGTGCCCCTGCAGCTCGGCACCCCCGATACCACACGGGTCATGACACGCGCACACCTGCAGCGCCCTTGAACAAATCTGAGGCTGAAACTGCTGACTGAAATGTCCGAGAGGGCAAGAGCGACACTCATGGGAAGGCATGTCCTCGCATCTCAAGACTCCTCCGTCCTTACGCTGTCTCACGGCCCGAGGTATGAAAAAACGAACTTTCTGGTACTTCATGGATCGCCGTGGACCCAAATGACGGATCTGAAGCTGGCAAATGCGATGGCAAAACCCTGAGAACTCGACAAGGTTGGAGGTCATGAACCATAACTAGAAAGTACACTGTGATTGCAGATGGTTGTTTCTGCATCTAAACGATTCCCGAACGGCTTCGACATTGGACTGGGCCTCGGAGCGGAAAGTGCCGTTGGGGCAAGCATCGCAAATGCTGCTGTTGTCAAAGAAGCCTGGAAAGAAAACGGGTTTGGTTTGTAGCTCTAGAAGCCAGCCCGACCCCTTGAGGCCACGGCCAGATGAGCAGGTCAACAGGCAAAAGCCTGCTGTTGAGGACCAGCGGATGTTTACATCGTGGGTCTATACAGGTAGGTCTTCTTATTGCTTCGGGTTTTGTGAAGGGTTTTTAACCGATTGGCAGTGCCAGAATCTGACTGCGCCTTCCGCCGCATTCAGTGCCGCGAACGCCCTACCTCGGCCAGCACGGCGGCGAAGCTGCATGACAGTGCATTCCAAAGCTTCTCAATACGCCCTGTCCGAATACTTGGTACCCTGTCACTTGCAACTTGGAAAATGTCTCCGTCTGCCTTTTCTTTTTACGGGGACGGGGGGGGCGGTGGTAGAAGTGGTAGTAGCACCAAAAGCAGAAAAGCAGAAGCAGAAGCAGCAGCAGGAGCAGGAACAGTAGCAGCAGTGGCAGCAGCAGCAGGAGCAGCAGCAGGTGCAGTAGGAGTCGGAGAAGTAGCAGTCTTTTTTGTCACCTCAACGAGGTTCAGACGCATCCCAATCATCAGAACAAGCCACAACAAACAAAACACCTGTAGCAAAGCACCAAGCAATGGGATGCTTCCGCGAAAAAAGCCCGGCTTCATTTGCGAGAAGACGGGGAGTCAGTGAGAACTACTTTGGCACTCAAAGGAGGAGTTTCATGGGGACTGTGCTCATGCCTGAACAACCAAAACCGGTGAAAAACAACCCTAGTTTGCAGGCTCAACAACACACCGCAAACCAGCCAGGATTTCTAGGCATCTAACTCTTATCGCCCGCATACAACTAACTCCTCGTGCAAAAGAGTTCAATTCTGGATCAAGGCTTGCTTGGTCAATCTTGGAAAAAAACGCTAAATAGTCGACAAGCAAGTGGGGCAAGCGAGGCAAAATTGCCAAAATGGCCAAGATTGCAAGATGACCAAGATGTCTGGCAATCTTGCCTTGCTTTTGACCAAGATGGCTCAACAAAAAAACTGTGCTAAACTACCGGCAAGTATTACCGGCAAGTGGTAGTAGTAGTAGTAGTAGTAGTAGTAGCAGCCGTAGGAGGAGCGGTAGCAGTAGCTGTAGCAGTAGCAGTAGTAGTAGTAGTAGTAGTAGTAGTAGCAGCAGCAGCAGCAGCAGCAGCAGTAGTAGTAGTAGTAGTAGTAGTAGTAGTTAGTACGTAGTAGGTAGTAGGTAGTAGTTAATAGATAATAGGCCGTAGTTAGTACGTAGTACGTAGTAGGTAGCAGGCAGTAGGCAATAGATAGTAGGAAGTGGGTAGTAGTAGTGGTCGTCGTCGTAGTAGTAGTAGTAAGACTAGTACTAGTAGTACTAGTAGTAGTAGTAATAGTAGTAGTAGTAGTAGTAGTAGTAGGAGTAGGAGTAGCAGCAGTAGTAGTAGTAGTAGTAGTAGCAGTACTAGTAGCAGTAGCACTACTACTGCCACAGTGGCCGCAGTAGCCAAAAAATACTGGCCGCAAAAATAAGCTCTTTCCCTTTTTGCACGGACGGAAGCTAGGACCTATGCCACAAGCTGATGCCAGCATCCAAACGATTGACACCCTCGGCGGCTTTTGATACGTTGAGTCCGTTGAGTTGTCGAAATACACATACCAGTAACTCACTTAATTGCATACACACATGTGCGCGCACATCTTGCAGTGTGATGCCTTGCACGTGCCGACACACATCAACCAAGTGGATGACCAGCGGGGCAATCCTGACACTGTCTCTGCTGCAGCTCCGTCCTCCATCATATCTTATCCACTCTCCGTGTTGCTCTGGAGGAAAGATCGGGGCCAGTCAGCGCTCCTGAAAACCGATTGCTGGCCATCCGGGCACTGGCCGCACTCCGCTCCGCTGAAGCCCCAGCCTCAGGGCAGAAGAGTGTAGTTGACATCTTCGAGCTATTCGAGTCTGGCAGCTCCAAAGCTGGAGGCTTAAGGCACGTGATACGAAGCTGATCAACCCAGTCTGTTGCTTGGCGGTGGTTTCATGTGGGTGTATGACGCAGCTGCTACCTACAGGCGTGCTCTCAATTGCGTGCCCAGCAGCGAGAACTCGCGGGCGCTGGCAAGGTACAGTTTCTTTCCTGCGCATCTCCGCCGCATGTCTCAGCTGAGTTGGACGCCATGTGCTTCATCCGAAAGAACGAAAGATCAGAGCCAAACCCAAGCCCTGGCCTGCCAACTGGGTGCTGGATACACCAGCGACCGCTCCTGCAGAACACGTGCACATGCTTTGCAAATCCATTGATCGATGTGTGAGTCTCCGTCCCAACACAGCGCTTGATGTAGCTGTGGGCTGCTGAACTGGGACGGGGGAACCCCATTTCCTGTACGCTTTCCGGGAAAACCACGATAGGCTCAGTCGAGTCAGCAAGCACCTGGACCTGGGTGTCCGCAGGTTGCAGGCACAGAAATTGACACACTCAACAGACTCGGGCCATGGCCACATGGCAGGTGTTGTTCTGCAGCTCGGTAAAGTTGATGTACCCAACACTTTCCTTTGATGTATGCACTAGTCAGCACTTTCCAAGATTCCTGATGCAATGCAGGCATTTCGTCGCTTATTTCTCATAGCTTCAGGCGAGAATTGGAAACCTTCCGCAAACCGCGACGGAGACAATGCTGGAACAGAGTTCAGCGTCTGTCGGTGCAGTGGAGTTGTCGTGTCAAAGGCAACACAAATCACAAGCCACAATGTAAGGGGTGGCAGGAATGCAAAAAGGGCCGGCCACACACCGAACTAACACGAACAGAGCACCCCTCAGCAAGAAGCATGCGACCAAGGAGCTGCTGAAAGGGGCTCCAGAGCAGCCCAGACTGAGAAGCAATTTGCTGATGCCACTGACTTTCTACTGCAACTACTGTAAGTAATCGTTACAAGTGAGATGCATCTAATCATGTCCACCCCATCCCCAGCCCGCCATCGGTATCTGGGCCCTCCAGAGAAAGGGCCAGTAGCTCCAGCACAGCCAGAGCCTTGGCAAACAACTTTATCTTGGAGCATCGCTAATGTGATCGCCGCAGGCGCCCTGCCTCAAAGGCCGCCAATCCCGGCAGGTCCTCGGCAAGTGAAAGAAGTGCCCCAAAAGCTCGCGGAAGCTTTGACCCATCGAGCACGTTAGAAGCCGCCTACTTCTTACTTGCCAAGTTGAGCTCCGTTTTGGCCGACCATCCCCACACAGGATGTCATTGACCCGGTACCATCACTGTAACCGCAACTGCTTCTGTACACGTCGCGCCAAGTGAGGCCAACTAAAAATCTGGCGGTTAAGCTCTCTCTCTAGAGGCGTCCCTTTGTGCGTACGTCTGCTCAGATGTCCCTGGGGATGAAGTCA